AGGAAGGAAGGAAGGAAGGAAGGAAGGAAGGAAGGAAGGAAGGAAGGAAGGAAGGAAGGAAGGAAGGAAGGAAAACTAAAAAATAAATGTTTCAGTTATTACAAAAGATGCATTACTTTTCCTACTTGAAAATGCCAAGTAAAAGGTGTTTTTAAAGAAAAAATTAACGACATAGTACTTGAAGTTTTATCTATTCATGAGTTATGTTCATTATTAAACTGTTCTTGCTGAAAAAAAATGTTCTTGCTGAAATAAAAAATAACTTAAGGGTGAGTCTGGCAATACTGGCATATATTTCATTAATAAAATAATAACAATGCATTCTTACAGAAACCAACTAGATACATGATTCTCAAATGTAACATATCCTCCTAACAAACAGTAGACTAACAAAACTAAAATTTCAATAGGATTTTATGACAACAGAAATGTAAACATGACCAAAATCTGTTGATACTTCAAGTGCACTATGCAACTTGCATACATATCCCTTTAGGGTCTGGGCTCCATCTATCTCTCCAGATGCATCTTCAGCGACTTTCACCCATGCATGCTACACTGGCCATTGAAAATTACTTACTATTCGCCCAGCCAGGCATGGCTCAGCGGTTGAGCGTCGACCTGGAATCCAGGCGATCGGGGTTCGATTCCCGGTCAGGGCACATGCCCGGGTTGCGGGCTCGATCCCCAGTTGGGGGCGTGCAGGAGGCAGCCGACCAATGACTCTCTCATCATGGATGTTTCTATCTCTCTCCCTCTCCTTTCCTCTCTCTGAAATCAATAAAGATATATTTTCTAAAAAAGAAAATTACTATTTGCTTGAGAATTTATTACTCACTTTTACCTCCATACAGTCCCTATGCTGTTGCTTCCTCTGAATGGAAACATCTCTTCCTCATCTTTCCTGTGCTCCTTAGTACTTCCTTGTAAACTCCTTCCTGACATCCACAGGCTGAATAGGAACTCCCTCTCTAAAACCTTGAGTATTTCTTATTAGTATAACATTCATCCCAAATTATTTATACGTCAATACTGAAAGATCCTTGAGGGCAGAGAGCCTGTATCTTCTTTTTTTTTTAATCTTTTCCATTGCTTCTCAGAGAGAGTTGGAGAGAGAGAAATATCAATCATCGATTGGTTTCCTCCGATACATGCCCCAGCCAAGCCTGCAACTGAGGTATGTGCCCTTGGCTAGAATCAAACCCAGGACCCTTCAGTCCGAGAGCCGATGCTCTAACCACTGAGCCAAACCAGCTAGGGCAGGGGCGTGTACCTTTTGAACGTTACAGTCACAGTGGCAAGCAAAATGTCAGGCACATGCACATATAATCAACTGAATTTTAGTTTAAAAGAACCCAATTAGTAAATAAATTTAACTTAAAAGAATGTCATTAAAGTTATAATTTGGATGGATAAACCTCAACCTTGTGGTTCCTAGCTGACTGGTATGTAAATGTGTTTTATAATTCTTCTGGCTAAATGTAAATACAAATTAAATACTCAAAGGAAGATTTCTGTTACATACTTGAATTGTTAAAATACAGCTGTCAAATTAATCTCTTGGACTTAAAAAATAAAGTCTAAAGATAAAAGACAGAGCTTGATGTAATATTTAAGAAAAGAAAAAAAGAACTACCCTGGCTGGCGTGGCTCAGCGCAGCGGTTAGAGCATTGGCCTGCAGCCCAAAGGGTGGAGGGTCATGTGGGAGTCAACGAACCGATGTGTCTCTCTCACACGTACGTTGTTGTTGTTGTTGTTTTGTTGCTGTTTTTTTGTCATCAAGTGTTCTATTTTTAATTTAGAATAAAGATAAGAATAAACTAATGGGGCCGGCCGGGCGTGGCTCAGCGGTTGAGCCTCAACCTAGGATCCAAGAGATCCGGGTTCGATTCCCAGTCAGGGCACATGCCCGGGTTGCGGGCTGCAGCCGATCAATGACTCTCCCATCATTGATGTTTCTCTCTCTCTGTCTCTCTCTCCCTCTCCCTTCCTCTCTCTGAAATCAATAAAGATATATTTAAAAAAAAAAAAGAATAAACTAATGGGTACAGGTTCTCATCACAAATTCTTTTTAAACAACTTTAGACCAGGTCCTTATATATTTTAAGCAGATGTAACATAATTTGAAAGAATTGAAACAGTATTAAAACTTCTTACATTAGTCAGCAATAAAAATGTACCATCAAAAAAAGAAAAAGCCTTAATTAAAAAGAACAAAGGGATGAAATATTATCAGTAATGTAGACAAAAATACTTATGATTTATTATAAATCTGAATTAGTAATAATCACATAAAGGAGAGGGACAAAAATAATGTATTTATGAACAAGAATTAAAATAATATATAAAATATAGATAGCTAAAGAAAATCCTAAGTATATGGAGAGAGACAGCGACTCACCAGTAAATCAATTACAAATTATTTGCACTCTGGAACAAAAAATTGAAATTACTCTAGAGAATTGAAAGGACATGTCAACAAGGATTTCACATCTCAAATGATGAACATGAAAAACAGTGGAAATAAATTATAAAATAATATGAATGTGATTAATAGAATTAAATTAAATAAATTTTCTTTTCTCTTTAAAATGAGTTTTTAAAGGGATTTTAGTGGGAAAAATTAAACAAAACAAGTAAATGGAAAACTAGCATAAAGATAGTGTCAACTAAGCTATGTATTTGCTTGAAAACGAAGAATAATTATATTCTTAAATCACTGTCACATCTATGTTTCTCTCCCTCTCTCTCCCCCTCCCTTCCACTCTCTCTCAAAAAAATCAGTGGAAAAAAATATCCTCAGATTAGAATTAACAAAAAACAAAACAAAATGAAACAAAACAAAACAAAGAACTTGCTTTTCTAAACTTGTAGTAATTTTATAGTAATAGAAATGGGGGGGGGCGGAATTTTAATGCATTACATACCATTTCAATTTCTTGATCTTTAGCAGCCAGCTGTTGACTGAGAATTTCTTTGCTGGAGTCAAGTTTAATACAAAGTTCCCTTGTGGAAGACAAGTCTGCAAGGGCAGACACTTTTTCAAAGTGAACCTTCTGAAGCTCCTCTTCCATCTTTACAAGAGATTTATATAAGGTAGAAATCTGGGACTTGTAAGACCTTTCTGCATCTAAGTGCTGCAAAAACAAAATTACTGTTTTTTAACTTGGAAAAAAACTACGACATGGAATACAAAACGGGGCAATTTTTAAATGATAGTACACTTACATCTAAGGAACTTTAGATGATATAGGTAGTAGTATATGTACAAAACACTTTGGGAAACAATTTCGTGTTTCAAATTTCTCTACATAAAATCTATGAGTAAGGTGGTCAACTGGTTATATTTAGAAAACAACTTCTCCCACTTAAACATCTCAGTCCCAAAGCTGAGATATGTACATGTTTGGTCTATAGCTCTGTCTATATTTGTCACAGTTTCAATTATTCTGTAATATAAATGTTATTGTTTTCTTTAACAACAAAGTGGCAAACAAAGCATGTGCCACTATTTCACTCACAATACCCATTTTCCAATTCTTGAAAGGCATGTTGATATTGACCATAACATTGTAAAAAGAGCATTTACTAATAACCAGGGAAAAAGGACTCTGGGGAAGCATAAATTAAGAATACATCCCCATTATGAGAAATGAGAGCACGTTTTTAAAGTGGTAACATGAGATTCAAGTTACATAAACATTTGCAAACATTCAAGATAATTCCCTCTTTTTTCAGAAAACAAGTCTTATGTAAGTCCACTGTCACCTACAAAGAAGTATTTGCTATTATGTGAAGATAACAAAGCTGAGAGGCAAATAAAGACATTTTCCTGCTTTTACAACTCCTTGTACACTCAAAAAATTGCTCCTGGAATAAATTATTTGGTCACAATTCACTCTTACCTTCCTCCTTCCCTTCCTTCCTCACTCTATTTCTCACTCACCCTTTAAATAATTTTCTGACCATCCATTTACCCACCCACTCATCTAACCACTCTTTCTATATTTATTGAGTATATTCTATATTCTAGTAATTGTGCCTAGATGCATATCCAATGGCAAGCAAAATGGTCTCTGCTCTCATAAAACTTTCAGACTATGGGGGAGTCATGCATCAATCAAATAATCATACAGGTAAATATATTAGTACATATTAAGCAATTACTTCTAGAGAGAGAAAAAAAAAAAGTGTATAAAAAAAAAAAAAGCGACCTAAACTAAGAGAGTCAGGGAAGTCAGAAAAGGTTTTCCTGAGAAATGACAGTTGACCTGAATGAGATCTGAAAGGTGAATAGATATATACAGTGTGTGTTGGGGAAAGTGTCTTTTCAAGTCAGAACACTAAGTGCAAAGCTTTGGAGGGCGTGTGTGGAGTGAGGGAAAATGACACACATAGCCCACGGACAAATGATAGTGTGGGGAAGGCTTGGGGAGGGGGC